TCCAAGTGTCCCCTGAATGAACTGTGTCATCACCTTCCAGCCATTTGTCCCGGTGAATGACGGTGGCCTCTGAATTACGAGGCCAACTCTGTCAACCACTCACAGACGAAGAGACGGGAAGCTCCTGGGAGATGTGTTGAAAAGAACAGTCTTTCCCACTTTAGAGTCGAATTAAAGGAAGAAAAATTCTGCTTTTTAATTAACTAGGCCAATTTGGCCTAGAAATGTTTCACTTTTTAAGCTGTCATTCTCTCTTACGTAGAGAAACTTGCAGTGTGAAACTTGGCTGGCCCTTCTGGCCATGAGAACCGGCCTTCCACTCTTCCTCTGGTCTCCTCCAGAAGGGGGAACAGCAAACGTACCATTTACATCTCTCTCTGGAAACTTAAAAGTGATTGATTTGATTCTGTGTGTAATCCCAACACTTTAATAACCCCCTACGTTGGATCAATTCTAGAAAAAAGGTTAAATATGAATCTGAAACTAGAAACAAACTCCACCCCCACCCCTGCCAACTTGTAGATGGAAAGAACAGTTTAGCCTCATCCCACTGGCAGAAAGCAACCTTCCCCTGCAGAAGAGTGAGGTCATGCAACGACCCAAGTGGGCTGATGGCCTGTAATCCAGTTAGACCAATGGGAACAGGGGTTCCAAGTGTTTGTTTCTTCAAAAAACCTAAACATTGAGCATCTATCATCCTTTCCGGCTGGGATGGCTAATAAGCCAGACATTTAAGATAGACCATGAGTCACGGGTTTCAAAACAGAAACAGTTTTTTCAAAACAAAACAGTTCTATAATAAATTCCTATGCTGCATACTTTTTTAAATCAATGTTTAAAAAGCAATGGAACAGCTGTTGCTGTCAGTAACCCACACAGACATTGTGTGCATGAACGCCCCCCGCCCCCCGCCAACTGTGCATGTGCAGGTTCTGCCTCGACATGGTGATGCACTCGCCTCTCTGCTCCCAGTCACACCCCTGGGGCCTAGGCTCCCGGACAATCAGACAGAGAAATGGGGAGCAGGTGTAGTAGGCAACCATCCCTGCTCCTTGGCATGCACACCCCGCCATCTCCTCCCCTTGAGTGTGGCCTGGCCCTCATGACGTGCTTCAAATCAACCGAATATGGTCAAGGTCATAGGCTGACACTCCAGTGGTGAGATGACACAAAGTTGTGACTTCCGACCTGCCCGCTGTTTCTCTCCCTGGCTGGCTCTGAAGAAGCAAGCAGCTATGCTGGCAAGGCCCAGAAGCAAGGCACTGAGGGCAGCCTCTAGCCAACGGCTGGCAAAGAATGGAGGCCCTCCTTCCAACAGCCATTGAGGAACTGAATTTGGCCAGTGAGCTTGACAGCGTGGGAGCGTGGAAGCAGAGCCTTCCCCAGTCAAGCCTTTGGATGAGACCCCACCGTGCAGAAGCCCTGACTGCAGGCCTGGGAGAGATCCTGAAGGAGAGGACACGGTAACTGTGCCAGATTCTGACCCACAGAAATGGTGCAATCCTGAGTGTGTAGTGTTTTAAGCTGCTAAGTTTTGGGGCGATTTGCTACATAGCAGTTGATGGCTAACGTAGCAGGCACCCTAACAACCGGCTCAGCCTCCAGAGGCAACTGCCACCACGACATCCCACCACCCCCTCCTCGGCACCACGTCCACTGTGAGAGAGGGAGGACCTCACTTCTATGTAGAAGTACCTGTTCCCAGAGGGTAAGCCCTGGGTGGGCCTTCATGGATACGTGCGTGCACGGCACCCAGCACCATGCCCAGTGTGTGGCCAGGGCTCAAAAAAATGTCTGAATAGATGAACTATCTCCACTAAGGATGAGAAAGGCAAGAAATCTTCACTTTCGGGTTCTATAATAAATGGAGTATTTGACCCAGAAAGCAAGCAAGCAAACAAAGGGGTGACTACTTGGTGACATCTTGTGGCCCTTGAGCCTTCTAAAGGAAGGCAGGCTTTGGGCTGGGTCTGAGAGGCAAGTTGGGTAGGTCATGCCTCTGGCTCACTGTCTGAACCTGGGCGGCACCATGGCCCTCCCCATTCAAAGGCTCGCCTATGGCGGTTGTGTTCTCAGAGGTAGAATCGGGACTGCAGAAAGAGAGGGACACGTGTAGGGAAGTTGACTCCACTCTCCGACAAGAGAGCCCGTGGTCTTTACCTTTGTCCTCACTGATCTCCCTGCTCAGAATGCTTCCTCCTCTCAACCACGTTCCTTCTTTGTTGACTTGGCAAACTCTTACTCATCCTTCAAAACCCAGCCTGGCTTTACCTCCTTTTCCCTACCTGAAGCTCGTTCCCTCTTCTGAGCCACGTTCCCTCTTCTTCCCACTGGTTCCACAGACCATAACAACCACAGCCATTCCTGTCTTGCAACCAGCCGTGAGCTCCCCATGCCCGCAGCCTAGAACAGGACTGACACACACCAAGAAAGCCCAGACACCGCTTCCCACTGGTCTACGCCCAGGGAGTGACAAAATGTCACAGTTTTCACTCTCTGGGCCCCCTGAGGTTGAGGCGCAGAGTGACCTTCCTCAGAACGAGGAACCAGGGAGATGTGACAGGAAGACATTCAGTGAGCAGAAAGCACACTCTTGAGAGAATGTTCCAACCTTGTGAACTGCAGCTGGGGGCTGTCTGGGGGAGGGAGGCAGAGCAGCTGTGAAAACACCTCAGTGGGCGGCGAGGGGTCACTTAGTCACTGAGCCTTTCCTTTCAAGGCTGACAGTTACATAATCACGTCTACACGAGAGCACCACTGGTTTGTGTCAACTGTTCTTAGCCTGAGGGGACCGACCCACCCCGAGAGCAGAAGGGCCAAACTCCTGCCTCCAAAGTGCTGGAACGAGCAGGTACGATGAGGCGAGCTGTGCTGAGGGCGGCGGCTACCTCAGCACCGGACCAGATGGATCCCTGAGGCTGAGAAAGGGACAGAACGGGAGCAGAACCATCTGGGGCCCATAGATGTGTCTTGCGGTGTAGCACCAAGAGCGCTGCTGGGACGGAAATGGGGCTGAGAATCCAGCTCCCCTCTGACCAGATCACATTCACAGCCGCAAGGGCCATTTTGAGAGCTCTACTGAAGGGACAGAGAAGGAAATTCAGGGAGAACAAGCAGGGAGGGGACGTGAAGACCCGTCCTTCTGGGGGCAACGGCATGAAACAAATGAAGTGACATGTGAGACTGTATGTGCTTACTACCGTGTGTCATACACTCACACAAACACACACACACACACACACACACACACTGCACTTAGCTGCACAGGTAAGCAGTCTGGAAGAAAACATACCCAATATAAATAACAGCTATCAGATGGGAGACTATAGGTGCTTTTTTTTTTTTTTTTAAAGATTTTATTTCTTTACCTGACAGAGAGCGAGATCACAAGTAGGCAGAGAGGCAGGCAGAGACAGAAAAGGAAGCAGGTTCCCTGCTGAGCAGAGAGCCCAATGCGGGCCTCGAACCCAGGACCCTGGGACCATGACCTGAGCTGAAGGCAGAGGCTTTAACCCACTGAGCCACCCAGGCGCCCTATAGGTGCTTTTTATAACAGTTCTCCTCTGTAGCTTTCCAGTACTTCCTCAGATTCCCACAACATATCTCATTGTCGCCATTGGCAAGGATGTGCGGAAGGAAATGCACACCCATCCAAGGAAGGTATTCAGGGTCCCTTAGGTTCCTGGGGCCACTATCACAATCTTGTGGTCTGTAACTGCAGGAATTTAGTCTCTAGCACTTCTGAAAAATGCAAGTCTGAAATCCAGGTGTCGGCAGTGGGGGCTTCCTCCTGGGGGTTCTGCAGGAGGGTCTGTTCCAGGCCTGTCTCCAGCTCCCAGTGCCAGCTGGCAACCCTAGGCGTTCCCTGGCCTGCAGACATGTCCCTCCAATCCTGTACCTGTCATCACATGACTCTCTCCCTACATCCAAATGTCCTCTTCTCAAAAGGACACCAACCCCTGGCTTTGGGGCCACCCTAATCCGGTAGGACCTCATCTTGACCTGAGTCCATCTGCATAGACCCTGTTTTCAAACAAGATCACACACACCCATATGAGGGGTGGGGCTAGAACTTCAACGCATCCTTGGGAAGGGCACAATTCACCCCCTAACAAGAGGTAGGTAGAAAAGGGAGACACAGAGGGCCGGATCTGCTTCGATACCCAGCGGCCTCTCCCACTTGGGGAGAGTGACCCTTGGGTCTATGCGGCTCTACAGGGAAGAAAGGGATCCAGCAAGATGCTCCCAAAAGACAGACTTGATTTCAAAGCAGGAGGAGTGCTGTAACAGAGCTGGACTGCTCATCTTGGGTGGGGACTCCCACTTGAGGGTCCTGGAGTGGCCTGAGGGCCCCCCTCTCTGATGGGACTGTACGACACAGACCGTCCCGCTAAGTGATTTCAGGCCCCAGAAGCCCCCATCTTCCGCCATCCCCACCGGCTTCATTATGGCTCAAGCTTTGCCAGTGCCGGCCTGGCCACCCCCACGCTGTCCAGTCTCACACGAGCTGTGCCTTTCTTATGGCAAAGCAGCCCTGCCCTTCATCTCTCCTCCTTTCGGTCTTCCCAGGAAAGCTAGAGACGGAACACTCAGAACTGACAGGGTTAAAGGCCTCGCCCATGTCGGGACATGAGGAATAGTAGGAACCAAACCCCTCAGCAAACCCTGACGTCCCTAACTCCAAGGGGGTTTCACATGCCCTGACAGTCCCCAGGGAGGGTCCAACGTCCCCAGGTCAAACCGGCCAAAGGCTGAAGGCGCACAGACCACGGTCAGAAGGTCTAAGAAAACGATCCTCAATTTGTTTAGAGCCAGTGGAGATCACACCAACAATAACATTTACATAGGAAATAGCAGTAACATTGCAAGTTAAGCTTGTTTATTTAAAAAAAAAAAAAAAAAAAAAAAAAAAGGAAGGAAGATCTTGTTCATGATGAGAAGGCAGGCTGTCCTTCAAAACTGCCTGTTCGCCCCAAATACAAGAAACCCAAAGTGCTCACCTCTCTACAGGGTCCCTGAGCATGACGATCAGCTTGGCGTCGGGCTGAAAGGCGTGGATGAAGTCCTGGGTCAGGAAGGGTGGCTCCCCATCCGTGCTGTTGTCGTAGAAGAAGGTCCAGGCGTTGTTGTCCCACATGGTGGAAGCGCTGGCCTCCCCTGGAAGCAGAGAACCCCGAGAATGAGCAGCGCTGCGTGAGGGGCTCCCACGGGGCAGCCTGTGCGAGGGACAAAACCAGGCTCCACTATGAGCACATGGGACTTCGGGAAGAGGTAGCTGGCAAGGCCTCTCTGCCCCAGGGACCTCCCCTGCTCCCACCCAGAGCTCTCTGTCTGGAAATCCAGGTGATGTGGGCAACAGTGAGCACCTGTTTACCTGTTTCCTCCCAGTTCCTCTCCAGGAGATGTTAAAAAAAAAAAGTAAAACAACCCTCTCCCAGCATCTGGCCTCCCAATTTCATGATATTTGACATTGCTCTCGGTACACAGCTCTGTGGCATTTTAAAGGCCCACTGAGAAGGTACTAGATGGTTCCCTTTGAAAAGCACCAGGGATGAAGGAGTCATTGGGGAAGTTGACCCTCGTTAGGAAATTCAATGCAATCTGCATCAAATTCTCCAAGAGATCATAATGCACAGTTGGCCCCGGGCATGCTCTGAGATCAAGCAAGAGGAAGATTTTGCAGGAAGGCTCATGGGACCTCCGTCTGGAGGTGCTGTGTCCTACATGCCCACACGCCCCATCGCCCTGCACACAGCTGGCGCTCAGTCCACGCTGACTGAGTGGACAGGGAATGGGTCCAGCACTTTCTCATGGTGGTCTGTATGAATGAAGGATGAAATGTGATACGCAGTCGAGGGTGGTCACGCGACCAAGATCCACACATTTCAACATCTCTCACTCAGATTCTTGAACCAATTCCCTGACTTTTTTTTTTTTTTCAGAAGACTCATCAGAGGTTTAGAAAGAAAGGCAAATCGATCAATTACATACAAATTCAATTTCCCAACATTTTACATGGACATTTGATACATCTCAAAGTCACTTATTCAGGGAAAATCTGAGCCAAAAGACTAGTGTCTTTGATCAGTGATGAGTGCATCACAATAAAGCAGGGAGTTGGCCGGGCCCTGTCTATTCTGTTGGACGTGCAATCCCATCGAGGTGAGCATTTCTGTCCTGGTCTTTCCTTTCTTCTCTTTTTTGAAAGATAATACCTTAAGATACAGAAGAGACAAGTCAATCAGAAGTCCTTTGAAAATTCTACTCACAGTGAATACAAGAATATTAGAACAAGAGAAGTATCTGAAACGAAACTGACAAAATTCTGTCAGATATCATAAATGGACTACTTCTACAACCCTAGAAACATCTGTCCATCCACCAGTCCATCCATCAGTCCGTCCATCTATCCACTCATCCTCTGTTCATTTCACATCCATTCATCCAGAAAGCATTCATCTGGTGTCTACTAGGTGCCTGGCACTGTGCGTGGCACTAGGGATAGGAGGGAACTAAGACAGACAATCCCCTCTCCTCTCCAACCTTACAGTCTAGAGGGAAGCGGCAACTCCGTACACAACCATCTCCCCAGGCGAGCACATGGACGGGCAGAGCGGGGCACCATGAGAGCAGAGGCAGGGAACTTTCAGTGTGTCTAGAGCCCCACCCCCAAGAACCCGGCCCCTCGAATCCTTTGTCAGCCAGCCTTTAGCCCAGACCACTGAGGAAAGGCTCTCTCTGACCCCTGAGCTGAGAAGAAGAAAGGTCCTTCTGCTCTCCCAAAGATCTCATCAGAGGAAGCGGAAGCAGAGGTGAATCACATTCTAGGCCCGGGAGGAGCCAGAATGGAGCTGGTCCAACCAGCCCATTGCACAGATGTGCAGGCTGAACTCAGGAACACGTAGACAACTCTCGTCACATGGCCCAGAGCTGGCTGGTGGCATGGGCGGGGCTAGCTGCCAGCTCTCCCCACGCCTCTCCTCTACATAAAACTTCCCAAACCCTGCTTTAGGTAAATATCAGAGTGGCAAATTTTTTCTCTAATTTTCCTTTTTAAATCTAGAAATAAGTAAAATTAGAAAACCAAACTAAGGCTTTCCTTTTTCATTCATTATCTTGGGCTCAATTTCCTAGCCCTAAGATGTGTATTTTTAGCTCTTTCCTAAGAACACAAGATTCTCCCAGAGGCATATGGTGTGGGAGTCACTTGACGCAAATATATGAATGTAACAGTCAACTATTAATTAGACTTGTGATCTGGGGTGTGTGGACCCAAGGGTGCAAGAAAGTAACTAGTAGCCAATTCACACCAGGGCCGGAGTGGTATGGGACCTCATCCGGCTCTCACAACTTCACTTCTTTGCCTTAAAAAAACAAAACAATAAATAAATCAGGACTTAGGCATGTAAGCCTCTCTCCTAGGACAGGAAGAGTCAAAAGCAAAGAGCCATCTTTCAGATGGTTGATTACAATTCCTCTTGGTTGCTAACAGAGTCATTGAATTTGGAGAATCAAAATATAATAGATTTAGGAAAATTAAAAAGCAGATCACTGCCTCAGGTAACAAATTTAAGGAACATATGTGGCCAGACTTCACTCTTTTAGAAGGTCTAAGTGGGTAAATGTCTTCTCCTAAGCTGAATCCAAGACAAATAGGTAGGTTTTTTATAAAACGTTCTTGTGAACTAAAAAAAAAAAAAAAAAGATTATTAATCAAGCCACCTCATTGTGAATGTCTAAAGGCATTAACCTGACAACGGCTCGGCTTTTTCAACAGCAATTAGTCACCAACAATGCATTAGGGCTATATCTGTTTCTGGAGAGATGGCCTCTGTCTTCCCAGGGTCCTGGGGCCAAGGATTCCAAAAGCCACATCAGTAAATCAATGACTCCTTGGTTAACTGTGCTTATGATCCTCCATCCAAACTTAGATCAGTACATCATAAAAAGAAACCAAGCCATGTGTGCTTAACTTGAATTTAAAAAAATGTCAATTTTTAGAAAAAACCATTTCAGGTACAAGGGAGCCTCCACAGAACTAAAAAAGTCCACTAAACATTTCTGCTTTATAGAAACTATGTCAGTAATGCAAACGTACATAGTGTTAAGAGCGATGGCCAGGTTAGGAAGTGGGCAGGAATCCTGCAACTGTCCCCTGGGCCAGAGCAAAAGCTGGGCCAACCCCAGAGCAGAGGGCGCCCAGTGGGAGTGGGCCCCCTCTCCCAGCATCTGGTCTCCCAATTTCATGATATCTGACATTGCTCAGGGTACACAGCTCTGTGGCATTTTAAAGGCCCACTGAGAAGGTATTAGATGGTTCCCTTTGAAAAGCGCCCAGAGATGAAGGAGTCATTGGGGGAAGCTGACCCTCATTAGGAAATTCAATGCAATCTGCATCAGATTCTCCAAGAAATCACAACGCACAGCTGGCCCCAGGCCGGAGCGGCCCCTCTGGGCCCCCCCTCCCAGAAGCCGTACCGATAAGGATCCTAGTCATCCTGCTCTCCTCCTTCGCAGAGCCGGCCTGCAGGCCTTGATGAATCTGGTGTGCGGCCAGGTCAAAGAGGTCCAGGTAATCTTCCACGGGGTAGCGGTCCCGAAGCCCATCTCTCAGGCGGACAATCCCTACGAGAACCAAGAAGCAGGAGTTACTGAGGACGAAGTGGCCACTGCTGGGGGGTGGCCTCCTGGGGAGGGGCTGAGAGGGATGTCAAGGCCCCAGGGGCCCAGTTGTACAGCCGAGGCTCTACCCATGTGAGCTGCCAGAAGGGGCTGGCAGTGAGAATATTTGCAAACTGGCCGTCCTCTCACCTGCTCACTCAAGGGGTGGGGACCACCATTCAGCTGCAAGTGGCAGCTTCCAGGATGGCACACCTGTTAGAGAACAATCAGTGCATCTATTTGGAGGGCCAGGCTTGGGGCTGGCTGACAGGTGCACTCGGGGGGTGGGGGGTGTGACTGAACAGCAATGCACACAGTGTATCAAACAGGGATGGGAGGGTTATTATTTTTTTTAAGATTTTATTTATTTGAGAGAGAGAGAGAGAGAGAATGAGCAGGGGAGGGGCAGAGGAAGAAGAAGCCTCCCTTGCTGAGTGGGGAGCCTGATTCGGGGCTCGATCCTAGGACCCTAGGATCATGACCTGAGTCGAAGGCAGATGCTTAACTGACTAGCCCTCCAAGTTTCCCAGAAAAGAGAGTTTTTATCTGAGCTTCTATCTCTGGCCTGTTTGATCAAGCAGCTTGTCTGTCCATCCAAACAAGGGTAATCATCCCGGAATCCTGGGACACGTGGTTGAACCCACTAGTTATTCTGCCATTGGTCAATGCAGCTGAAATTTGCCCCTTGGCTTAAAAGTGGGCCAATTTCATGTGCAACTCTATTAGCAACACACTGCCCCCAAACCACAGCTACCAAGGTTAGCGGAAAGTGGAGAGAAAATGTCCCATGGGCACAAGAGCAAGAGGTTCAAGGAGACTCTGAGTAAAGGATCCGACAACCACGCCCCTGCGCTTCCCTCGTCCCAGCCAGTAGGAGGCTGGTTCTCATCAGGGCAAATGGTGACCTGTGCAGGGAGAGCACGCTACATGACGCCAAGGCTCCCGCGGCTGCCTCTGCCAAACCACAAAAGACACATTTACCCTTCTGTTCGTTCACTCCAGGAAGAACATCAAAACATCAAATTGATTAAGTCAATTTGTCAGGAGACAAGCAGGACTTGGTCTCAACTTAGGCTCTACGAAGGAAAACTTTTAAAATTCCCTTCTAAGCAACCAGTCCTTTACATGAAACATGCCCTCGAGTCCCGCCCCAGCTTTGGCATTTGTCAAAGTGACCGAACGTCTCCTGGCAGAAGGGAAAAGGTTAAGAAGAGGAAACAGTGACCCGAGGGCTGTGGGGTGGCTCAGGCTAGGTGGGGGCCATGTCCACGGTCACCCAGAATCATGTCCATGTGATTTTCCTTCTGAGCTTAAAGCAGAGGGACAGAGCAGGTCGGACAAAAAATGAGGCCCAAAGACTCACAGCTCTCAAAGGAGCCAGCCAGAAGCTTGAAACTCACCCCGTGTGGCAACCTTTCTTCCTGCAGTGTCCCTCTGGGGTGGGGAGCCCTGGGGACAACACAGCAGAGCTGGGGTGGGGAGAGCCCCAGGAAAACGCCCACCTGGCATCTGGCACTTACCACTCACCACTGGCGGAGGTACCAAAGCTCTTCAGGGCAAGAACAGCCAGCATTCTGCACCCTTCCCCTTGCCCTGCACAGTTGGCACTCAGTAAATGCTCTCTGGATGGCTGGGAGTTGCATCCAGCCCCGTGGGTATTTGTGCGAGGAGCCCGGAACTAGCCAACTGCCGGCTCTCTGCCTCTCGGGGTGTTTCCTCATCTCCGGCCCTGCCTCCCTGGCGGCCCTGAGCATCCTGCCTGGCCCCGCCTACCGACATGGGCGAAGCAAAGCTGAAAAACTGAGGACCGAGGCAGGAGGCGGGGCCAGGAAGGCTCACCCCGCCCACACGCAGGCCCCGCCCGTCGCGCTTACCAAAGCGCTTCCGGGTCCACCAGTGCGGCTCCTTGATGGCGGAGAACTTGACTTCCGGGTGCAGCCGGAGGCGGTCGTAGAGGTCAGTGGTGCCGCACTTGGGCTGCCCGATGATGTAGAAACGCGGCAGGCAGCGGAGGCGGAAGTGCTTCCCGCTGGCGTGCGACAGGTGGCCCCAGAAGGCCTTGCGCAGGGCGTCGAAGGTGGAGCGGAAGCGCTTGGAGTAGAGCACGTAGGAGTTGGTCAGGTACGGGTCGGTGGTGTTGCGGCCCGTGAACTCCTCGTACCAACAGGGGCTCTTGCTATTTGGAAGAAATTTATTGGGGATTACTGAAAACATCTGCAACGAAAGAGAAAAAGAGGGAGAGACAGACGAAGGCGGGAAGTTAGCAAAAACATGTTCTCACCACGCCGCGGTCATGCCCTGATCCCCGCTACGGTGTTCACATGTGACGTATTATTTGACAAGGACGAAACACTGAAATAAAGCAAAAGGTGGTGCATGGCCGAGGCCGTGTTTTTCCTTAGCCCAAAATAAAACTAAAATCTGGAGAGACAAGATAAAAGCTTCCTCAAAATGCAGCCTACACGCACCACAATCTAATTAAATGTCACAGTTGGAATCTCTTCACTAGTTGTGTATTTAAATGACCATTAGAGACAAAAATGCTAATTGGGGCACAATAGAAATAGGATGATAGTGATCTACAGAAACAAGCTGAACCACCATGGCAGCGAGTCAAGTCCCTGCAATGGAATTCTGAGAAGGGGTGGCCCTTGGGTGTATCTAGCGTCGCATCCAGTACCTCGAATTTCCTCCTTGGTGTAAACATCGTGAACACACAGCCCTCTCCCAGTGCCCGCGCAACTGTGAGGCTGTCAAACTATCCTCATTGCACACCTCAGAAATTTTTTGGTCATTTTTCTTCACTGTGTTTCCCAAAGATGGTGACAGCAAAAGGAAGCATCTATTTTTAAAAATCAATCCATCCCTCAATCAATCCAGATTAGCACAAGGCTACTCACGTGCAATTCCTGCTTCTTGAGATCTTCTCTGTCTGGGAGCTGCCTGGTCGTGAACTCGATCCTGGCGGTGATGCTGTTAATAATTAATTTAATGCTTGGGTAGTCTTTCACATATGAAATATTATTTACAGAGGGCTGGTGGTGATGTTCTTTCGTGTCACTCGGGTTCTCGCCATCCATCAAGCTGGGATTGCTGGGGAAGGCTCCGTAATGGAAAGGCGAGGAGATCAGAAGCTCTTGGTGGGCTCCAGAAAGGATGTAAGATGCCATCACCAAGGTCATGATCATCAATCCAAACACGAGGCTGCATCGCTTCCCCTTCTTGAAGCGCAGAAACCTGCCCCAGCTCTCATTCCCCTCGGCCCTCACCTCGAGGACAGCAAGCAAGTTCATCTGCTTACCGTCTACACGGAGCACAATTTTGTTCTCTCCTTTGCAGGCGGGGCACTCCGGGTGACCGTGAAGGGGGCCCCCTCCGCAGCCAACCTGCTGTTTGTGCTCGTTGTTGGGCAACAACTGGATGCAGCAATTAATACAGTGCCTCATGGTAATGCCCTTGGACGGCTGGCCCCCAGAGCCATGGGCGAGCCCCTGGGGAGCCCGGATGCGTGCAAGTAGTGCTGGAAAAACTTTAAGGATGTCTTTTGATTAGATAAGATGGTCTTAAGGCACAAGCAACAGACACAAATAGAATATAAAAATGAGCAGGCACCAACGCCCTGGAGAAAGGGTAAGGGCCTTCTTTGGTTCAACTCTGAAAGACAACAGAAAGACGTGCTCTCCTACTGTCATGTTCTGTAAGCAGCCCTGCAAGCTTGGAAAAGTCCCCAAGTGTGGGAGCAAGTCTGCCTGTCCTTCAGGTTTTTCCCATGGCACAAAATGAAGTGTAAGATTTCTCGCTGGAGGACATAGAGACACTCAGGAGATCGGAAGGGCTCATGGTCTCAGTGAGGCACGGGTCGGCATGCCATCCTTGGAGAGCCCCGTGAAGATTTCTTCTTCTACATCCCACACTCCTTTAAAATGTTTCCTCCTCAGGGTGGAGCAAAATCTTTAAAATGTCAGATTACCTGAACAACAAAGAAAAGAGGTTTTATTACATGATGTGATGATAGCCATAACCCTGGGATCACTTTCCTAGGAGAGAAGCTCTCTTTTCCACTCCTAGGTTTCAGTCACTCTGCTGGGTCACGAGCAAGTCACAGAAAATCACGTGGGATAAAAGGAGAGCTTTTGGAGCTCCCCATCAAACACCTTATTTTTTGCACATCCCCTAGATCCTCTAATGCCCAGCCACACCACAGCTTAAGTACCGATCTCCGAATCTCAAGACTTCGTAGTCGTTCCCAGATGCGTGCACGGTCAGTGACTTTAAGTTGAGAGATGAACTTAAGTATCCATGCTTTTAAATCCACAAAATATCCAAGAAGCAGCCCAGTGAGGAGAGGAGTATGCAGAGAAAATATGTTTCCTCTCTCCCAATAGCACCCATAGTCTGTTACCAAGAACTAACTTTTATTATCGGTTTAGGAGGCAAAAGTTAATGAAAATTTAGAAACACTGAAATGATTCTCTCCTTCAGTAGAGTGCATCATATTAAAAAAAAAAAAAACCATTTGACTTTAAGTTATTAAGCAATTAAACCAATGTGCTGTATTCCCCTGAGTAACATAACACTCAGACCCTGAAATCATTTTTCACTTTCATCATCCTGGGGAAAACATGATTCTTAAAAATCCATTAACAGAATTCTGTGGTTAGAAAATGTATTGTTGCCCAAACGATGACACTTCTTTGTAGATGCTGTAAAAACAGCAAAAAAAGGAGACTTCATTTCCAATAATGGCAGACCACTACTAACTAGCTGTGGGACCTCCAGGGGGCCATATAACGTCTCTGAGCTTTGCCTCCCTCCCCAGTAAAATCAGGGCAAGAGTACCTCACTTACAAGCTTGAAGCCAGTATTAAATTAGCTAACACACATAAAGAGTTTGCTTAATGCCTGCCCATAGTTATTTGCATCCCCTAAAAGGTAGGCAACATTCATAACAGCATCATCAGTGACCATTAAAATTATGTTTTTTAATTGTCAGTGAATGCCAAGGATGTCCAAAGTGGAATCAAAGATGGGAGATCCTATCCCATTATTTTTCCTTAGGGCTTGAGAGTTACCCAAAGGCCGTAGACTCACCTCCAACTTGGCACACACACACAACCCTCAAACGATCCTACTGGTCCCCAGAGAAGGTAGGATTAACCAACTCTGCATTAAAGCCTGCTCGTATTGGTTGGAAGGCTGAACAATGAGGACTCACCAGCAGGAACCTTCCCTTCTCTTGGACAGAAAAGCCCCTGCTTTATCAAAATATGCTGACCAAGAAAAAGCCAAGTAGCGCTTCCTAAAACATCTCCCTCTCAGTGTTCTGCATCTTGTTGATATGTGTTCTGTGCTTAAATGACTCAAGGAAAAGTTAAGCTGAACACAATTAGACTCCTTTACAACAGGACTTTTGGGGGCCTTGAATATGCTAATGAGCCCTGGGAGTCCACAGGACAAGACTAGAAGATGCAAAATTTCCAAAACATAATTGGCCATGGAATTCTCACTAATGTCACAAGGAACCAGCTTGAGAAATGCTAGTTAAGGGAGGCCGAGATTGGGGTCAAGGCAGTTCTGGGAAGAGCAGAGGAGCAGGGGTGTGCGGGAGCAAACTATTCTGGAACCAGGCCAACACCCGGGGCTCTGCCGCCCGCTCATCTCTGAGAGAAGTTGGAGGGACGTGACAGGAACCTCAAGGCTCAAATCCCTGCCTCCCACTCGCTCAACCACCTCTGACCCATCACTTGGTACAAACAATTCTTCCAAACCAAAGAAACAAAAGGGCAAGATCCCCTACTTGGAAATCCTATCGCTAAGCCAAGAAAACATTTTTTTTACATGTTGAAGACAAGGCCAAGCGGGGCTAGAAGGAGGCTCCAACCAGGATCTCAGTGGGGAGTGTGTTCACACCCTTCTGTGCCTCTGGTTGCAGAAAGTCTAATTAGATTTTTTTTAAAAAGAAAAAAAAACAGAGTCTTTGAAGCTCCAAGACAAGAATGTACAAAATCTGGACCCAACAGAATGGGCAAAATATTCCTAAACAAAAACAAAGATTTCTTCTTACAAGCCAACTAACTGGGTCATTGGGGAAGCTGACAGGCTCAACAGGGAGACTCTGGGATGTGGTGAGCCCAAACATTCGTACCCCTGGGCAGGCTGCACCCTCCAGCCAGACCTACTCCGGTCTCACTTCTTAACACAGAACAGGGAGCTGAGACCTGGGGTGACAACTCATTCACTTGTTTGTTCTTCTGTTGGGCAGATCCCTTCTGAGGGACAAGCCTGGGGCAGGTAGCGCTGGAGGTGCGTTTGGGTCATGGAGACCCAAAGTCAACGGAAGACAGAGGGGAACAGAATACAAAATAAACATGTGGTCTTTGTCCCCAGTTCCCAGCAAATAGCTTCTAAAACCCTTGGAATTTCCTCAGTGAAGGAGTGAGAGGAGCATCTTGTTGTTATTCATAACAAGCCCCATTCAACCACAGCTGAATTTATGCTAATGAGATGACTCTTGTGGGAAAGCCCCCCCACCCCATAGCTTCAGGATGGGGCTCGTGGCCAGAAAGCCCAAGCCTCCATTAGACAGTCAGAAGGTTGGAACTTAGAGCCCCACTTCCCCAACCTCCAGGGAGGCCAGTGAGGGAATTGTCAAGGCCAATGATTTATTAATCATGCCTATGTAACAGAACCTCTATAAAAACCCCCAAAAGGACAGGATTCAGAGAGCTTTCTAGCTGGTGAATTCGTGGAGGTGCCGGGAGAGTGGCTCCTTGCCCCTCCCCCCAGGTCTTGCGCCAGGCATGTCTTCCCTCTGGCTCTTCCACAGTTGTATCCTTTATAACAAACTGATAATAGTAAATAAGGCACTTTCCTGAGTTCTCAGCATGGGTCTAAAGAATTATCAGACCTAAGGAGGGCCTTGTGGGAACCTTGGAATTGGCAGCTGGATCAGACAGAAGCTGGGTAGCCTTCGGACCCGGAGGCTTGTAACCGGCATCTGAAGTGGAGTAATCCTGGGGGTCTGAACCCTTAACTTGTGGGGTCTATGCAAGCTCTGGGTAGTTACTATCAGAACTAAACTAAACTAAACAGTCAGCTGGTGTCTGGAGAGTTGGAGTTTGTTGTCATGGGAAAATAATATATAATTACCCTACAAGTTTTACTGAAACATATGACCAGTATCTAGTATGAAAACACCCCTTGACGATATCGATTAAAAATAAGTCCTATGACCATATCCCACACACGGCTGTGGCCCTTGTCAGTGCAGGGCCTGGGGTTTTGAGGCTTCCAGACCAAGCCCTGGCTGGATGGATGGGAGTTGTACAGAAGAAACCAGGGCAGAGGGGCTTTTCCCCACCTGGAGCTTATATGTTGCCAGGAGTTAGGGGCTACGGGGCAAGAGCCAATGACCATGACAATGTCAGGCACCGATGAAGGTTGTGAAGGAAACACAAAGGGAGAGTACAAGGAAACCGTGACGACAGGCCTTCTCTAATGCAGCACTAGGCCCAGATCATTCTTGTAGTCAGGAGCTGCTCTGTACACTGACCTCCATCCCCAGGTGAGACTTGCATCCCAACAGGAAAAGGGGTCCGGCAGCAGGATGTCCAGAGAACAGTAGTTGGGAGGGGGCAGGTAATATCTGAACGATGAGAAGGAAGCCAGCCACGCGGGGCTCAGGAGAAGTAAAGACCCTGTGAAGGACAGAAGCTGGGGAGTAAACCCCAGGGGGACCCCCAGGAGGATGGAACCCTGGGCTTTGGGACAGATGGGGGCTAGGAACCAGAAGCCAGATCCTGTAGGGTCTGGAAGGTAGGATCCCGGGCTGACGTTTGTCCAAGCGCAAAAAAGCAGGCACGCCACGTATTCTCTCAAAAGGACCTTTACAAGACGTATAACTATTAACCAACATAATCCAGTGAAGAAAAATCGAATTAATGTGACTGTTGAAGGGAAAAGGGATTGCTGTTATACTCCTGAACTGGCCTTTCCCAAACGCCGCAAACCACCCTGAGAACAGTGCCGCGGGAACCGAACACTCAGGTAGTTCTCCCTTAAAAAAAACAAGCAGCACACATCCCTTGCGCTTTACCTATCTGGAATGTTCCCACTTTGGTGCCTGTCGACTCAGGTGAGTCAGGACCCCTGGCACACCCATGCGGGTACTAAACCAAAGTACTCAGGTGTACATTTCAGTGAGCTCGCTTCCCAGCCCCGGCTCAGCGCTGTGCCTGACAGAGGCAGACAGCAAGTGTGGGAACCCGGACCCCTGTGCGAGATCAGATGACTGGTCCCAAAATAGAAAGCGTTCAATTACCCAGCCCTGGCTAGGATGCCCCCTATTAACCTCTGCACCCCAAGCATCATTAGCAAGCCATTTATAACAAAATTGTAATTGAGAGACCCAGAAATACCACTTTAGAGTAAGTAATTGAATGCCCCCTCGGTGTAAGATCGATAAAGGGCATCCAATTTCACCCTAGGAAAAACTTATTAAATTATTGTAGCTATGAGCTGATACAGCAGAAGAAAGATGTACAAAACTTCAAAAGAAATCTGGATGGATTTAAATAAATAGCTTCATTTAGGTAGACCATTTACATCTGCCCTCGGGGAGGAGAAAGGAAAAAAATAGCTAATTACATTATTTTACTTGAATGTTTTAAGGGAAAAAAAAAATTTGATGGGTCTTAAGTGACCTTTACTAAAACACAAGGCTCTCTTCTGATTAGCATGTCTAACTGCTGACGTTTCTCTTTGGGCTACGCATATGGAAATACATTTCTTCAAGGAACATTCATCAACAAGTATAAGAAGCAACATGTCTCATATTTAACTCAAAGATAGAAGATTGTCCCCGAGAGTGAGAAACAGCAAGCCTGGAGAGTCCTGTACAAACAACAGATAACCCGTTCCAGCCTTATAGCTGGAGTTTGATGCTTTTGATCACAATGCAGTCAATCACCA